CGAGAGGGCAAGTAATCCCTTTAGAGGGTTTCGTTGAGAGAGAAAGAGAGGAAAGTGGGGGGAGGGAGAGGAAGGAAGTAAAAAAGGGGTAAAAAAGGAAGCTCGAGTATGCGAAGGGGGAAGGAAGAGGGGGGGACGAAAGGGGAAGGGAGGCGAAATGAGCAGTCTCGATGACAGGCACGTGGCCTTACAGGGCGGTGGCCACCTCCATTTACATTTACAACACCCGCCACCGCCTTATACGGTGGCTCTTATCCTCTCGTTCGATGACATTTCTCTTTTATTCCTTTATTTTTTCGTATCGTATCGAAAGCGCGCTTGCTCCTCGTCGCCCGCCCCTCTCTTCTTCCACCACGGCGTTTCGAAGCTGGCGCGGAAATCGATTAAGCCGGCTTTGCAATTCGATCACGTAGCGACTCTCTTCTCGGTCTTTTGATGATGTATCGATACATATATCGATACATCGTTGTCGCGTGGACCTTTGCGCGTCGGAGAAAGGCGGTTCGGAAAAAAGATTTGTTACGGCGAAAGGAGAGCGGTGTCCATTTGTCGAGCGGAGATCGAATAAAAATCGCGGAATGAGAATCGATAATTGGAGTTAAATCAAAAGAGACTTCCGAGGAATACGAGTTTCCAGAAGAAAAAGAAAAAGAAGAAGAAGAAGAAGAAAAAGAAAAGAACGAACGCAACGAATGCAGCATCGTAGAAAGCATGTTTTTCGCGTTTACGAGCATCCTTAGATACCTTAGGTATATGCACAACGAAAAGCAGATGGTAGACGCGTCCGGTCTGCAATTATCGAAGAAAAGAGATAATAGCTACCATGACGTAAATTTCTCTCGACATGTTCGTAAAAAAAAGGGTATACGATGATCGAAGAATAATTAGCCATTAACGAAACACGAATGCGAATAATTCCGTAGATTTCTCGCGTCGGCAGATCAATAATTAATCTTTCTCTCTCGTGCTACTCCGTGATACTCGTTAACCGACGCGACGACAGATTCCGTCAGGTATAATTCCAATAACTCGGACAAGTAATACTCGATTCGAGGGAAAAGAGGTAAAAAGAGAACACCCACTACCGAGAGACCATCAACTACCATCAACCATTCCGATCGATATCCCTCCGAGTTTCCATTCGCGACAACCTTTCCAACAATCTCCGATACAATTGCGAACGAAACGGCGGACCCGTTCTCTTCTTCACCGTTCCCTCTCTCTCTCTCTCTCTCTCTCTCTCTTTCTCTCTCTCGACATCATCGTTGTGCGGTGGAAGAGAAGGCGCTGCTGCGTGCACCGTAATTGCGGTTTACCGGGACATTACACATTTTACGATGTATTAACGGTAGCATGAAATCGGTAATTGCGAGCATTTACCATGTCCAACCGCTCCTAACGAGTTACGTATCTTACGAATATTAGACAAGCCCGAGTCTTTGATACATCAATCGTATAACGGAGGAGGGGGAGAAAAATGATAACGACGGTAAGGGAAAAGGGACTTCGAATGGAAGTCCCGATGCATCTCACGCTGACTCGCGCCGCTGGAGTCCCTTCCCTCCACCACCGCGCGCTTGCGGCCATTTGTTTCGTTTGACGATCTCTCCCTCCGCGATACCGACTTTCCACGCCGTTTAGTACCGATCGACGTGCCGCGACCATTAATCCACGCGCTCCGGGTTTCGTCGAGGAATCGTTTCACGGCTCGTTGCTGAAACTCGTCGACGCTAGGCCTTCCCTTCTCCTTCTCCTCCTCCTCCTCCTTCTAAGTGTGTTTATACGTCATTCTCGAGCGATGGAAATATGCACACGTGGGAGAGAATAACAGTTGCGAAAGAAAAGCTTATAATCGGGAGTATCTTGGATCTTTGGAAAAGGAATCGTTGCGTTCGGGTGTTTGGATACGGGGATCGGAGTGACTAATTAAATAGAATTAGTTACGTGGATCGTAACTACGGAGCAATAAACGAACACGTTCCGTTTCGTACGTGTATATAACGTGTATGAATTATTGATAATAGGTATAGAAAATATTCTTTTCGCGGGTTCGTTTAATTATACGTATATATACACGTAATAATATGCAAAGGAAGATGTGAAAGGCTTTTTTTCTCTTTTTCTAATCCCGCGTCGGACGGGATAATAATAAACGGGTATTATAACGAGCAATTAGGTATTCGAATTTTTCGCGGTAGTTGAGTGTAATTGCTCATTACACCGGTAGAATTGATCCGTGATTAAACCGAGGTTTAATTAACACCGCCGCGCACACTCGAGGCTTGATTGGTAAAGTATTAAAAAGGACATTTAACAGCCGCGAGAGTAGTTATCGACCAACTCTTAACTTATTTAATTAACTTGGAAACTGGTATTATATGGATATTAAGTGGATATATAAATTCCATTTATACAACGATCCGTCGAAAAACATTTCCAAGTCTCGAAATCAAAAAAACTCGAACGCGTAGAGTAGCCTTCTTCTCCCATCCCTTTCTTCCTTCCGGATGGTTGCACGCCACCCATCCAGCCGCGCCCCTCTTCCCCCCCTCCCTATATAATTACAAGCCTAATAAAATTCTCGAATTCAATTATCCCGTAACTCGATATTTCACGCCCGAAACCATCGAATTCGCCAGAAAGTGGATACTCGACGATCCCATACCCTCGTTTCATCCTCTTCCAACGACAAAGTGAAACGTGAGCGAGATCGCTACAAGGAGTCTCTTTCTCTTTCTCTCTCTCTCTCTCTCTTTCTTCGCCCAAGAGAGTTTCTGCCCGTCGAAAAAGCGAAACGACCACCGCGCACCTCTTTACTCACTGATCGGCCGCAATTCGTTTTTACAGTTACGGCGCCCATCGTCGCCCATTTTTCTCGGCCGTTTTTTTTAATTACGGCGACGTGTCTCTCTCTCTCTCTCTCTCTCTCTCTCTACTTCCCCTCCCCCACGCTAAATTGTACCGTTACTACGAAAGTCGCGCGTTAAAACGGCGTAAAAACGGGCGCGATAAATAATACGTAATTATCGGTGTCGGTGGTTGGCAATGGGCCAACCTTTCCGGAATACGAATTACTCATCGAGCGCGGCATTAATTCCCGCGCATCCCACGATAGCCGATAATGATGGTGATCGTGCGTGTGGCCAACGTTCTCTCCGTCTCGCGATCTTCGTCTCCCTGCCGTCGTATATTTCGCGTTAAAGTGTCGCGATGTTTTCCACGATTCGTTCACGTAGCTTTTTTTCTCTTTTTTTTCTTTCTTTCTTTTTTTCTTTTTTTTTTTTTTTTTT